GCCTATTGTCTGGCTCACATAGCCTGTGACTAATCAGGGCAGAGCTATTTCCCTGTGGTAATTTTCACATCATGTAATATTGCGGATTAAATTAACTATACTTCGCAACCTTCAAATTTCATGATTTTTCTACATAATATAGCAAATTTCATAAACTTTGCTGGATATAAATTTCAAAAAGATGATACCAGCACTTACCTGAAATTTTTTAGCATTTTGTAGAGGCAAAACTTAAAACAAGCAGAACCGAAACTTGTCAAAGACTGCAACATGGGAAAATCATGTGACCGGATTTTACTCTTTGATTTACAACTTATTTAGTTAATGGCTTGTATTAGTTTTTTTACGCAGCGCTAAAAGAGAGATTTAAAAAAGGGGTTCCATAGGCAAACTGTCAGCAGGCCGACTTCAGTTTAACACTTCACTGCCCGTGGACAGTTACGACTGTAGCGCCCCTAGCGGATTGTGATCTACCTACTGTCGAGTTCAGCCACACGTTTTTCGTCAGTCAGGGCACAAGTAGTTATTTTCTAATAAATGTGTGTGCTTTTTTTCTGTATGTCTTTTAAATCAGATATCAAATAATTTAAACAGAAACGAATTCTTATCATACTACATTGATAATAATATTTGAGCTTGTGAGCAATGTATTCATCTTACTAATTGATGTATGCCTTTGATATTCCCATTCCAGGTGCGGCTCCCTCCTGAGGTGAACAGAATCCTCTATGTGCGGAACCTTCCCTACAAGATAACTGCAGAAGAGATGTACGACATATTTGGGAAATACGGGGCCATCAGACAGATCAGGGTGTAAGTTAAAAACAGAAGGGTAAACTTATTTTGAAAAATGGCAGAAGTGGGGAATGAAATGTGTAGTTTATTGTGCTTCATTTTGTAGATATATGAATAACTTTAACTCTGTTACATTTAATGAACACATATTTGGAGTGAATATAACCAATGTGCTGATTACACCAATCTAGTTTGCAAATTTTGCCCAAAATATAAATTTGCTGCATCATATAGCCTCCGTCATCTAAAAGGTATGGTTGTCTCAATATAAGAAACGTAGCCTTATATGTGTCTTTTGAACAAACAAGTACTTTTAACTAGAAAGGGGGTCATAAAAATACCCATTTTATTGATTGTACAGATTCCATTATGCTATCTTGTCATGTTAGTTTGTTGATACTAGAGTCTGAAAAATAGGGTTGTCTCAAAGTAAGAGACAAAGCCTTATGTGTTGTTATAGGCCACGAGGGCCTCTTCCGTCCTTATCTAGGGGAGTGCTAACCTTCTCTCCTTTCATACAACACAATTTGCATAGAAAGCCATGTGGCATATATAGAGGGTTTTATGATACTGTTTTCGGCTGTGGTAGCATTGATTTGAAAATTTTGTGTATTTTAGATGCTTATAAATTTAGAGAAGCATCAAATCAATTGGTAGTCTTGTATGTTTTGAATTTTTATGTTGTTATGGAATTTTGATTCTATGTTATTTGATTTTTGAGATTTTTTTAATTTTAAATTTTCACCTGTCATACCTGTGACCTGTAATACAATTGGTTTTTTCCATACTCCCTGCTTCCCACAACTTTCATTGAAGTGTAAAGTCTAACAATGTTAATTGAACATATTTCACGAAAAAAAAAGGATCAAAAGGATAGAAAAAGGCAGAATTTTCCAAAACTGACTTTTCTTTTTAATTGTGAATTTTGTACACAAAGTAATTTTAATTCAGCAAATTCAAACTTATTGCTCAAAAAAACTTAACTATAAGTTAATTAAGTGTATCAATGAAAACATCTACCAGTTATGCTGTCTTACTAAATTTCGATTCTTCTCTTTCTTTCCAGAGGCAACACTCCAGAAACCCGAGGCACAGCATTTGTCGTGTATGAAGACATATTCGATGCCAAGAACGCCTGTGATCACCTCTCAGGCTTTAATGTGTGTAACAGATACCTGGTAGTCCTCTACTACCAGTCCACAAAGGTGAGGGCCTTCACAGCCTTGGCATTCAGACAGCCAGAGGGCTAGATTTTGATACAGAAGAAAAAAAGTTTCATCTTTTAAGGAAGATGAAATACTGAGGAGTCACTTAGAATTAATTGATTTTGCCAGTTTGAAGTTTTTATCTATTTTAAGAAGTGTTTTGTAATTATTATATAATGTGCAATGATAGTGCATTTGAAATGAAATGTAAACAGAAAAACAAAATGGATATGAAAACTAATGTGATTAATGATTCTTATTTTAAGTCAGAAATTTGGGTTTTCTTGAAATCAAAACGATAATTTTATTGATATTCTATTGTGATACAGCAAAAAAGCTTGCTTTGTTGCCATTAATAGTGTAGGCACCAATTGTGAAGAAAGGCATTGTTTCATTTTACAGGCTTTCAAGAAGACAGACACAGACAAAAAGCAACAAGATTTGGACAATATGAAAGCCAAATACGGACTAAGTACCCCAGATCTATCTAAGTCAAAATGATAGATCCTGTGTACTGCTGTAAGACAATATCAAGATCTTTATAAGGCCCTTTTTTATGTTGAGCAGTGCAATTTTCTGTATCCCACCAAATTTACTGGTAATTATAGGGCGAAGGGTGAGGGGGTTTCCCCCTTTCACAAGCCTCAATTTACCAATAATGATTTTCTGCTTAACAGGATGTTGCGAGTGTGGTTCATTTAGGTGACTCTTTTACAAAATGGCCAGTCTATCAATTCGTCAATCTCACAAACTGTTATGGTACAGAACACTGTCATGCTTGACGTTTTAAGGGCCCAAAGTACATGGAGATAATCACTCTTTAAAGATTTTGGAAAGGAGGGAGAATGTTTGACCTGGTTTCATTGAAGAATTTTGGGTCTAAAAGTGATTCAGAAATATTTTAAGACACAAAAAAGATCTGTTTAATGAATTTAGAATGAATGTGCAGCTGTCCACTAAAGGCGAAACATTGTCTTTTTAAAATAAATAGCTGTTTCTTGTTGTTAAACGGGTGCAATATTTAAGTTGACATGGATATCTTGGTTCAAGGATGGCTTGCAGTGAAGATCAATTTTTCATTCCAAAGTTCTGCTGTGAAACAATTGTGGAGGCCATGTTTCATCTGATATGTTTCAGATACTTTGTTACATGAGGAAAAACCTTTTAAGTTAGCATTATATAGAAGCAAAAGCTGAAGATGGGAGTGAGGACAACAGGCACTCTTAATAAACTTCAAAATATGTAATGGAGGCACATGAAAACAGAAATACCCATTGTGCAATGAAAGTGGAATGGATTTATCATGTAAAAATCAAGAAGTAAGTGGCAGATGGAGAATTTGTATTTTTAAGGGCTGCAGAAAAGGTACGGGTGCAGTGTAAATACAGGCCTCGTAATTTCCAAAATAATTTCACTGGGGTAATTTGTTTTCAGATTGTGGCGAGTTGATGTACATCACTGAATGTATTTGTAATTTGAGAGATTAAATTAAATATTTTGAAATAAATATGCATTGCTAAATGGCTTGATTTGTTCTTTCAGTAATTTGACAAATTAACATCTATTTTATCAAAATCCTGATATCAAAGATGGCACATATGGACAACAAAACGAGTAAATTCAAAGAAATTGATTGCATGTTATCCATTACTATTTATTTGGATTAAATTTATTAATGGGAAAATTACGGTTTGTGTTCCAAAATTTCATCATTTCTTTCTCCCAGTCCAACTTTTCCTTCACTCACACAGTAAAGAGATTTTTTTCTAGTCTGCAGATTTCAGACTTTTTGGGAGCCAAATTTCATAATTGATGCAGAGGAAAGTCCATGGGGATCCTGCGCCATATTTTCAGTATGTGGCCTCATCTCTCCTCAGCATCTAGACAAGTACAGGCAGTACATATACGACTTTCAACTGCTGCTCTAAATGTAAATAATCATCTCCATTACTCCATTTTAACATTCACGGGCACAATCCAGACAAACGTCGAGTGAAAAATTCCAACTTAACTATGTTTACGGTGACCAACTTGACGAACAGTGCATACCTGCCTCCAAGAACTTTGGCAGTGAAAATGCCATTTTTACAAAAGTTTTCACTTCACACACACACATTCTCATATTTAAAAAAAAAAAAAAAAAAAAAAAACAGCTTCTCTTATAAATATGTTTCATTTTATTTCAATGGCATATTTGTAATGTATAAAGTACTGCAGCTCCAACAAAACTTTACGTGAATGTTAAACTGGACAAGTTGTAAAACCCACAAATCAACTACAATGAATATTGTACAGAAGACTGTAAAATTTACCCCTAGTACAAAAACATTAATTTACTGAACTAGAAGTCAATAACAACAATAAGATTTCATCTTATTAAAGTCTCCCAAACTCTTACTTCAGTTATCTATTGCACTTATCAAACTTAGATTTTTCCACAACCAGACTCTCAGACTTTTGGGCTTTCTGTCCATTTATACACCAAATGATATCAGTATCTTCTGTTGCCATCATGATCAGCGTCTTCTCTTTTTCCCTCCATTAGCCATTTCACTCCCAACAATCACATTCAGAAATAGTAATTGTTTCACTATCCGTTAACAGCTGCCACTTTCTCGCATCTAGTGAAATTTTCCATTATTTTTCTTATTTTTTTTTTCTTTAAAAAAGTATGTCTTAAATGTTTTATAATCTTTTCGTCTTTTATGCCTATACTACTAACAGGCAAATCTTTGTCTTGGAATTAGAAAGTATCTACTCTGACTTCAACTACTTTGGTTTCCTAGCTTCAACTGGACTTCCTGAAAATAACAATACAGAAAATGTCAAATGGAGAATGGCAAAGAAAAAGCACTTTACCTGAATAGAAGAGTGCAAATCTGTCCACACACAACAACTTCTATTTTTAAATACTAAATCAATACTTTATTATTTTATCTGATTTTCTCCCGTTGTGACCATTTAAATCATTTAAACTTCCAACAACACTGAACACAAAGTGCAATGAAATTTAAAGGCATACCACATTTCTCTTTATCTAAATAGACAGGCTTGTATAGGTAGCTAATTTCTGTTATATTATGTCAAATTGGTTAAATATGTGGAATCTGTTTTCTTGTTTAGCTTTTCGAGGTTTTAACCAATCAGGTCAAAAGTTTCAGAACGACCTTCACCTTTTAGCTGCAATGCCACTGAGCAGTCTGTTACCAAACAGGAATGTCGGAACACCCAGGAACCCCAGGTACCTCAGGGTCTGGAACATGTTCAGGTGCACCCAGTAGAAGTAGTACAGGACAAATATGGCTGGAATAAAAGAATAATTATAATTAAATTATTACAAATATTGTAGGGAATATATTAAATGTGTAGTATTTGTGATACTGTTAATGTACTAAAAACAGTATGTTCAGAGGGACCCTTTAAAGAATGGGCTTACATAATAAGTTGCAGTTGTTTATTTAAGTTTTTTTTTCTCTACGATGAAACTGATACTTATATTTTAATATCTTATATCTTTATTGGCTGCCTACCTCCAAGTCCAGCATGGAATCCTATGGCGCTGAGAGACATGGGGAAGTTGCTGATGTTAACTCCGATGGTCAGCCACTGGAAGAAAAACCCCAAACAGATCATAAAACTGCAGGATCAGAGAATGACTATGGCCTTCTGGCCTTCTGTACAACGCAAACTGGATTCACATTTCTTGTCAAAATTGTCTGTTATAATCATCAATTTTTAAATATTATTTGAAATCTATTTTTACTGAAATAATGTAGATTTTTGCGGTGAGGCTATCTGTGGTATAGATTACTTTGTTAAGGATATATCTATGTTGTAGAATACTTACCAAGATAAGGAGAAGAGCTGCAGGTGCCAGGACCAGGGCAGTGAACAGCATGGACACCGTCCCTGGGGGTCTCTTCTCTGGCTGACGGAACATGTGCTGAGATAAACAAAATACACAGAATTATATATACTGATAAATCCATTAAAAATTTTCCTAATCAAGGGCTATAATGTGATATGGGCCTTAATATTAATGCTTTTTTTTTCGAAAGGTTTAAACCTAAAAGTTTCTCCTTTTAAGAGTAAAAATCTCTCTATTGATATAAACACATTTTATGACCTACATTAACACAATTAAATACTTGTATTTTCTGTGCCAATAATTTCCAGCGTTTGTACTGGGTAAGTCCAAGCTCACACTTACTTCTATGTTCTTCTTTGGAGCATAGAGGTCGCTGGCTGGTGCCTTAGGTGCAGAACCCTCGGGGAATGTCAGCGATACATCAGCCTAGAAATATGACAGAAAAGCTTCAGATTTTTTTCTATTTGTATTCTCATAGATACTGATAATGCTATTTCGATATATATGTGAACCTAATGTATGTTAATGCAATTAAAACTGTGTAATCTATGCAATTAAAACGGTCTATTCCACGACTTTAGACTCTCTTATTTCAACATCCAATTCATAAATCTATTTCAAAATTTCAATTATTTTCATTATAAATATTTTTTTTCCTTTTTGAAAATGTATCTTGCATGGTCTTTCTCCTCTGTCAAGGTCAACTAGTGACTACAGAAAGTTGATGGAATATGCAAGGTTCAGTCCACACCAGTCACAGAGGAACGGGGACTTGGTTATTCTCCAACACTGTGGAAAGAGAATATGCCTCAAACCCCTTGTGGGGGTATTCAGCTCCCATACGCCACACAGACAGAGCCAAGTAAAACCAGAACAAGCCCAGCTCACCTGGATGACTAAGTGTTGGTGGTAGTTGAAAGATTTCTGTCTTAAAATGTACTCAAAAACACTCAGGCACATCAATGGGGAATGTCAAACCATGCCAGTCGTGCTACTTTGACTTACACAATTTAAGTTATATCAAGCTTTGAGTCACTCTGTCATTTGGGGCCTGTTTCACAATATTACTGTAGAGGTTGGTCAATCTGATCAGTAGTAGTCAAATGCAGTAAAATATTGTGCTTTTGTCAAAATGAAATAGAAATGACAACTCATTCAGACTAATTTACCCTCATAAAGTGAACTACTGCTGATTTAGTCTAAAACTGAAGCTAAACAAAACACTGATCTTTAAGTTTAGACCAGCTTCAGTCCTCAAGTTCTTAATTTTCTGCGAAACCTGCCCCCATTGTTTAAAGCAACGTAAAAGGACAGTTTCACTCACCACAGTCCAGAAGAGAGGATTTTCTATGACAGCATCTCCAACTACCAGGTCCATGGTGTACTTGCCGGACAGCCAACCAAAGTCCTTGGCTGATGAACCTACATCCTGAAAATGAGACGAGCAATCTGACTGGTCCAATTTCATTTTGACTTCCTTTCCAATTTTAATATAATTTTAAATCTGGAAAGCTCTCAGATATTTTTTGTTTTCAAATTGTTTAATGTTTCTGAATGATACATTGCAAAAGGGAAAGATAACTTCAAAGTTAAAACGTAATTCATTTACATCAGAAAAGAAGCACTAGCAAAACTTAGAAATGTTTGAGTAACAAATAAAATTCAACCTAACCATAAAGTTATTCTATCTCCACTTACCAAATCAAATCTATACACATCGGCATTGTCAGCTTCGGCAACAAACACTATTTCTTGTTTGCTCTTCTGATTGGTCAGACGCACAAACGTCTGGTGTGCTGTCATGGCGGCATTGGCAGTCATGTCGCGCAGGGTGAAGCGCATGATGATACGCTGGTGATGATCAGCTTCAAATGTGCTGGACGCCTTTTTGGGATGTTGCACTCTGGGAAGGCAAGACAACCCATGATGACAGTCAGTAAAAAAGTTATCAATCTTAAAGGCACACAATACATGTCAGACTATTAAATAAGACAAAATATATTTATTATTATTTTCCTGAAAATTTGATAGATTTCCCCTTTATCAGAAAGTTTATTGCAAGTTATGCGAGGTCGACTATTACACAGACAATATTCAGGGATGTGAAATGTGTGCATGTTTGGGAGGAAGGGGGGGGGGGGGGGGGAGGAACCTTAAAATTGATACAGTTGGGCAACTATTCCAGAAATCTAGAGGGGAAAAAAACCCAGAAAAATCACATCCATGAATATACATACTTGGTAGTTCTTGCCGGGGTACCCTGGTCCTTGTCAGCCACACCAATCTCCACATTCTCCACTCCCACCTGTGTGGTCACTTTAAGGTGGACCTGACAGGGGAGAAATAAAAGTTACACAAAAGTTCATAATAAATTTATCAAACAAACGTGGAGGGAGGGTGTAAGTTATAAAACAATTACAGTGGATATCATAATAAATATTTTAAAGTCAAAGGGGAGTGGTACCCTTTTGCAATAGGCAAATAAAATAAGAAGAAGGGAGGCATAAGTTATTGAACATTAAGAGTTGATATCATAATAAATGTTTTAATGTTGGAGTGGTGCGGTCCTTGGTTTTCAACTAAATAAATAAAGAAATAGAGACAAATAAATGATAAAAAAAATATGTTCGTATCATCCTTGGTCTAGTTCTTCCATTTTAAAAAAAATGTATCTTGCATGGTCTTTCTCCTCTGTCAAGGTCAACTAGTGACTACAGAAAGTTGATGGAATATGCAAGGTTCAGTCCACACCAGTCACAGAGGACCGGGGACTTGGTTATTCTCCAACACTGTGGAAAGGGAATATGCCTCAAACCCCTTGTGGGGGTATTCAGCTCCCATACGCCACACAGACAGAGCCAAGTAAAGCCAGAACAAGTCCAGCTCACCTGGATGACCAAGTGTTGGGATTCCAGCTATCATGTATTATTGCAGTTCTTAAAAAGGCTGGGAGAAGATTTTGACTAGGGTGATGTGGACAGACAGCAAGAAGAAAAAACACTATGATTGTGTTTGTACTTAATTATGGTTGTAAGTTTTACCAGGGTATGCAATAAAAAAATTTAGATTTTTCAAATCCTTATTTAATACATTTTGTTTTATGAAAATAAAAGCCGTCCCCCTACCTCAACTCCTGAGGTCCCCACCAGCCTCTTGTCTACCTTCTGTGAGCTCAGACTAATGCAAACATTACACAAAATTTTAAAAAAACCTGTATCTCAAATCAAAGCTGTCCCTCCCTACCTCTGCCCTTGTCTGCCTTCTGTGAACTTATAGACTTATGCAAACATTACACAAAATAAAAAGATCTGTATCTCAAAATAAAAGATGTACCCCCTACCTCAGCTCCTGAAGTCCCCACTAGCCTCTTGTCTGCCTTCTGTGAGCTCAGACTAATGCTGATGCTGTAGAAGCCACGGCTAGGCTTGGTTTGCATGAAGTCCAACTCATACACAGCCCTGAAAAGGTCAACATCAACATGTGCAATCTTGAAGGTTGACATGAAATAAAGTGCTAAAGGTCAACATCACAAACCATGCTAAAGGTCAACATCAGTAAATTAAACAATGAAGGTCAACACTACAAAATACAATACTTCAAGTCCACTTGAAATATAGTACAAAATGTAAACATCATAAAATGTACCACTTTGAAAAGTATTCAAACTTGCATGATAAAAAACATTTTAACATGTCAATAAGAACATCTGTTTTGCTAATTTCCAAGCTATATAGTTCTCATTAAATATTTATTACTATGGTGGAGGTACTTAAAATGTTATGAGTCATATCAAAAATATATATCAGCCTCTATGTGGATCAGTCAATTTCTTCAACACTCTCAGGCTTTATGGCCTTCAGGTTATCGTTTTTAAACATCACTTCCACAAAATCAAGCTCCAATTTAAATAAAAAATGTAAAAAAAAACAATAACAATGCCATCTGAAAGTGTCCATTATCCATCAGACTGTATTTTCAAAAGAATCAAGGACATTGCCATTTGATATTTTTAATAAACTCCCCCCCCCCCCCCAAAAAAAAAATGGTCTTCAAATTGGATAACTGTTCCAAAGATATAGATTAACTATAAAATGCACTCACTTGTCATCTGCTGCTGGTGTGAACTGCTTCTTGCTCAAGACGACGGCATCGTCACCAAGGTTACGCCCAGTATCTGCGGTGACAGTCATGGCACCAAGACTCACCCCCAGGAGGTTACTCACACGGACCTATGACACAAGAAAAAAATGTTTATGCTCTTAAAGCAATTTTCATTAAAAGAATGAATCACTTGTTCACATTAGGTATTCACAAAAATTTTTTTACAGTCAACATTTGTGGTATTTTAGCATAATAATTATCAAATGCAAGTTGGATAGTTTGTTTCAAACAAGTTCAGTATATTTTGGCTAATACCTTCATAAACCTGGTTTGCACAACAATTTTCATCTCAGCAACAAGCCATTTGTAATAGCCTAAGTCACAAGAAAAATGCTTAATTTCTTTCCTATCTATAACACTCCTAATCTTATCAAAGTTCTAACTGGTTCTAGTAGCTAGAAGAGTACAGTGGATCAGTTAATGTTGTCTACACTTTGAGGCCATACTGCCTTCAGGTTATCGTTTCTGAACATCACTTCCACCAACATTTACAGAGTTACTCATGAGACCAATATATACAATTTTTAAGCCCCCCACCCCACACCCCAAAAAAAGCATGGCACAATAAAATATTAAAGAAGTATCCCCACAGAATAATTGATCAAAGCAGCATTGGAAGAAAGAAAAATAGCAATGCATTCATTTAATAGCCCCCCCCTTTGATCACTAGTTTTTACGTCACTCAGTACTTTTTTTAATTTTTCAAACATTTTTCACATAAAAATCTCCAAGTCTGGGTGAGTCGGCATGTGCAAAATACTGAAATATGAAGGTTAAGACAAAAATTTAAATTTTTCCCTTCTTCTGACCTTCACCTGTAGGTGATTATGACTCTCTCTTATTATTTTCTAAAATTGCTCGCGTTTTTAGATTTTTACCTTTACTTTGGGAGAGCTTGCGGACACTGCAACTGGACTGGCAAGAGTGACTGCCACTGGAATGTGAAACTGAAAAACAAATCACACTTCTATTAACATCAGTGTCTTCGTTAATCTATGGTTCATTACATTTGTTTTTCACCCCATAAATCTTTAACACCAATCAAGTGATGACAAATTCTATTCACATCACCAAAAAGGAGGAAAATCTTCCAGAAGAAAAACATCAACTACTTTTTACAAATTTAAATGAAATTCAAGCCCAAATACAAACAACTGAAATCAAATCTATTTAAGCAATCAAAAAAAAAAAAAAAAAAAAAAAAAGGAGGAGGGAGGAATTCTTCCAAAAGATGGGGAAAGTTCCACCTCTAATATTTCCACTGCTCACCTTATTATCTGTGAGTGTCTTGACAGCTGAGAGCAGGTGTGCCGCCGTCTTCAGCTGCTGTACCGACTTCCGGCTCAGGAAATAGTTGGTAAATTTTATAATCTTCTCCTGAAAATATTAACAGGAAAGCTTCATTCCAACATTTTCAAAATAAGACATTTCATGGCAGAATCAAACCAAGAAAACATTGAATTCATAACAAATTTCCTTTTACAACAAAGTGAATCAAGTGTACAGCCTTTGCAGAATTTCTTTCTACAAAACTGTTTAATTACATTGATGAGTAAATAACAGTTCCATAGCCCAAGGTTAAAAATGCAATAAGTGAAAATTGTACCACTGGATTAACACATGTGAAAAATAAATAAAAAATAAAACCATAAAAAAGGGAAAATTTTCTCCTTACTTCATCTATAGTTGGGGCCTTGTTCACCTTTGTGGCCAGTTTATATGCTGAGTCAATTACAACTGATGTTGTAAACAGTCCTCCTTCGAACTGTAAATATTTATCATCGACCTCGTCGGCTTGTGCGACCACATCCTCTATTCTATCAAAGAATTTGCTGACATCCCCACTGAGTTGAGTAGCTGCTAAGAAGGCATACCCCAGACTGGAGCAAAAAAGGATTGTTTTAAAATTTTTAACATTTTCACATTTTCAGGATTCCATTTTTCATACAGAGAGAAAAGTTCTTACATTCACACTGTTTCAGGTTTAAATTTTAAATATATAAAATTTTCTTTAATATTTTCACATTTTAACGGTTTATTTTTTCATAAAGAGAAATAAGTTCATACTTTTAAACTGGTTTAATAATGCTAATTCAGTTAATGTTAGTAGGCACACTGTAGTAACTGCACATCTGGCACAATGGACAGATAAGAGCGTTTTTTTTTTTTTTTTAATTTTTTGTGGAGAGAAGGGGGGGGGGGGTACATCATATATGCTGGTCTCACCTGAGAGGGCTGTCATCTTTTTTCAGTACCTCCAGCAGGGTCTGGCTGGCTTTGGCAGAGTCCACTGAAAACAAAAGGAAAAATAATGAAATAAAAATCTTCAATAAATAATATTTTAATATAAAAATGCAACTTATATCATAATGGTAAAAATATGGGATCGAGAGATCGAAAATGGTTAGTAAAATTCTGAACATATTTACATGTGGCATATCGAGGAAAATCGTTCATATTTCCAAGAAAATCCATGTTTGCCTGTGTACCAACAAACTGAAGTTTTTTTTCTTCTTTTTTTAACAAACTTTGGCCTAATAGGCTTAAAAAAAAAAAAAAAAAGACTAAAAAAAAAATATTCAAACCTAACTTACCTGTCACACCCAGATTTTTGGCTGCTAAAATTGCATAGAAAATATTCACCACTGGCTGGTCTGTCTTCAGACTCTCCGCAATTGTCTCCTTGGCAGTGTTAGCTGTCAGCTGAAGTATAAATATAATTAAATTTCAGTATCCAAATATCAACTATGAAAAAGGTATTATTTAGAGCAAGACCTTAAATAAATAAATAAATAAATAAATAAAAGAAGAATTTTATTTATTTAAACAGACTGAACCTCAAAATCTAGCAGTTGATGCTTGTGCAATGATTTAACAAAGTATTTGTCTCACAACAAAATATCACAAAGTTTTGACAGATTTTGACATATAATTCAGAAAACTATTATAACAAAATGAAAGATATTCCTAAAGAAGGATAATCCCTGTCCATTACCCAACCATTAGATACCTGGCATCCTCCTAAATTTTTGGCAGCTGAAGAGGCGAAGAACAAACTTTCTACGCTACTCTGGTCCAAGTTGACTTGAAGATAGTTGCATACATCCTGGAAAAATTTAACTAAATTGGTAAAAATAATAATAATGCAAAAAATTGTGAAACATAATGCAGAGCTAACAATATTTCATTTGTACGAATAAATTAGTACTAAATAAAAGTTTTAATAACTTAACTTATACATTAAGATAAATAAACATGATGTTCTTAAATCTTAATATCAATATTTATATATTCATTCAAAAAAGTCCTTTATTTATTGCAAAGAGCAAACAAGCAAACATTATTATTATTATTGTTATTATCAAATATTTGAAAAGTCAACTGTACTTACTAACCTTAGAGTTAGGGATGACTACACCTAGCAACTTGAGCCCCATAATGGAGTAGTGGGCAGCTTCCACGTCTGAGTATGGTGCTGCTGCTTCAAACACTGACCTCAGTCGTGCCTGATCCGCAGCAGAGAAATAGGATGATGGCGTCAAAGCCTGTCCCATTACGGACAACAAGGCAAATGCAACTAATAGAACGGTACCTGAAATGAAATATGAGAAATTATTTATGGTGACTCTCATATATGATGCCTATGATCTTCATGCATTTATTTATTTAATTTCTAAACTTGTTTTCATCATTGTCTACTAAGCTTGTTTCTATTTTCTGTTAATCATTTTGATTTTATTACAATTATAATAATAATAACTGTTGTCAATTCTTTTCATATGAATTTAATTTTTTCTTCCCCCTCCCCCTGGCAATGGACTCAACATAAGACTTCAATCTCCTACAGTCGAGTACTTATGACATAGACATCGTTTCTACCAGTTCCAACAGCGTTAAAATCACTTGAGCTTATATTTATGGAAGTGAAAAACACCCACGTACAAAGAGACAAGTCTAATTTAAAATGTCAACCAGGAAACCCTAAACTTTAAAAGAGTCAAACTTCAAAGTGCGTCATTTTATAGACTGTATGAAAGGTACATATGGATCATTAACTGCATATGATAAACAGAACTGTATCAGAAATATTGGTTATTTTTATCAATTTTTGCTGACACAAACTTAGAGGCAAAATGAAAGTTAAAAGTTAGAGATATATTGATGTGGCACTGTTAGCACCCACGTGTCAACATGGCGGCTACCGGCTAGCATCCCCACCGGAAAACTTTACCATTTTCTTTCAAAGTACTCAGCTTAGCAAAGTGACCCCAAGTAGACAGTAACTATAGATGTTTCCTCTGTCTTTTCTCGCTGTTACACGAAACGAGCATACAGAATGACAAAGATATGGTCAATTGTTTGGAAGCTCTACCCACCTCTCGCCATTTTGGTTACCGGATACACATCAGAGGACAGACATCGGGCATGCGCAAATTCGATTGCATCAGATGTGATTTCTTCTTTGTTGGTTTCGAACAACTACCACAATTACGTCAAGAACTACGTTTTTAAATGAAAAATAAAATTACCAAGACCCATAGGAGCCTACGCGTGCGTCTTTTAGATGCCTCTTTACATGCGAAAACGACATGCACCGTGTCTATTTCGTATGTTATTAATCATATAGCAGCGGAATTGACAAAGCCCATGTCGCATTCGTCTTTTACTACAGAGCTTTGAGCCCCAAAAATGACATGGCTGAGTCTGTTTCGCCACTTACTGAACGCCATAGATGCGAGATTCACACGACCCATGTCGCATTCGTGTCTTACTGTGGATCTTTGAGCTTCATGTTATAAAAGACAATCTTGCATTTAAGGGAGCCAGCAAGTTACGAAATAAGCATGACTATTTGTCAGTTTCGTGTTTTACAAGATGCACAATATAGGCCTACAGGTAACGGATTAAATTCGAAGACTATAATGAATCACCAGAAATATATCGATGTTTTGGAGTCAGGCTTGCTACCATCTATCACTAACATGTTTGGTGACAGGAATTATTCATTTGTTCACCAGGATGACAATGCTCCTTGTCACAGAGCCAGAGCAGTTGATGATTGGTTTGACCAACAGGATATTCGCAGGGTGATGTGGTCTGCCCAGGGTCTGGATGCAAACATAATAGAAAATGTGTGGAATGATATGTCAAAACTTTTTACAAATGCCCGTCTAACCAGCAGACAAACTCTGTTAGATTCAGTATTTCATGCTTGGGCCAGCATAAGCCCTGAACGCATCAGACAATAATACGAACCCTTGCCTCGCAGACTGACAGCTATTATTAGGTCACGTGGCTATGGCACTAAGTACTAATTTTGGACTTGAAAGTGCATATCTTGGTAGAATGTATATATATATATATATATATATATATATATATATATATATCATAAT